TCTGCACAGGCCCGGAATACCGATGGCTCTCCAGGGCTGGCGGGAGCCGGCGTTGGGTCTCGCTGGGGCTGGGGTTGGGGCCCAGGGGTCACTGGCTTGCCCAGGGAGCCCCCACACCCAGCAGGGACATCCCAGCACAGTCCCTGGAGCAAGTGGCCAGTCTGCACATGGATGCGGCCACTGGGACAGGAACCCGGGTCTGACCAGGGTCTGGCGAGGGAGCAGAGGCAAGTTCCTGAGAGGCTCGGGCCCAAAACGCATGTGTCTGGGGGCACAGGGGTGCACTGGCCTTAAGCTGGGTGCACAGGGCTATGCGTGCTGGCGTGCACATGCGTCTGTGTGTGGCCACTGACACGGTCCCAGGAGACTCCCTGCTGTGGGCCCAGTGCTGGTTCCAGTGATGACCAGGACAGAGCGGCCCCTGCCCTTAGGGGCTACAGCCTGGGGAGGAGTCTGGCAAGGAAAGAGTCACAAAGGGTACCACAGCGGACTGCCGCTTGGCTGGAAGCTCAGGCGACATCTGAGCTGAGTCGGAAGGGGCTGCAGTGTGCAATAGAGGCTCACCAGGCTGCTACAGCACGTGCAAAGGCCCGGGGGCAGCAGCTCAGCCATGCTTCCTGTATTTACACAAAGTCACCTTTTCGGCGGGCCGTGGGGGCTCACATCTGTATTCCCAGCACTTTCAGAGGCTGAGGCGGGTCTAAATATGTCTCCAAAGACATATTTAAAGATTTTTCCCTTAACAATTATTTAATTAATAACAGCGAGAAAAATTGTTTTTTTTTTTTTGAGACGGAGTTTCACTCATGTTACCCAGGCTGGAGTGCAATGGCGCGATCTCGGCTCACCGCAACCTCCGCCTCCTGGGTTCAGGCAATTCTCCCGCCTCAGCCTCCTGAGTAGCTGGGATTACAGGCACGCGCCACCATGCCCAGCTAATTTTTTGTATTTTTAGTAGAGACGGGGTTTCACCATGTTGACCAGGATGGTCTCGATCTCTTGACCTCGTGATCCACCCGCCTCGGCCTCCCAAAGTGCTGGGATTACAGGCTTAGAAAAATTGTTTTATGAAGTAACAGTATCATCTCTTAATTGTCTGTGCTGGGATGTCCCTGCTGGGTGTGGGGGCTCCCTGTCATAGCATCAGATCACTTGAGGACAGGAGTTCGAGACCAGCCTGGCCAACATGAAGAAACGCCATCTCTACCAACAATACAAAAATCAGCTGGGTGAGTTGGCACACACCCGTAATCCCAGCTACTCAGAAGGCAGAGGCAGGAGGATCGCTTGGGCCCAGGAGGCAGAGGTTGCAGTGAGCGGAGATCCAGCCTGGGCGACAGAGGGAGAGACTCCATCTCCAAAAACCAAAAACCAAAAACCAAAGTCACCTTTTGCATTGAAACTTTGTTTCAAAAATAATAAGGTTGTTACAATACGCCTGTGGCGACAGCCACTCTGAGGCTGCAGGAGGTAAACCGCTTGAGCCCAGGAGCTGGAGGCTTCAGTGAGCCGTGATGGCACCAGTGCACTCCAGCCTGGGCGACATGGTGAGACCCCAGCTCTAATAAATAAATACATATATAATACACAGTTAAAAAATAAATCTAAAAAAAAGTGTCATGGCTGGGCGTGGTGGTTCACTTCTGTAATCCCAAGAACTGTGGCTTTTACGCAGCTGTTTTTTTGAGACAGTCTCTGAAAATGGTGAGATTTCAGGGATGAGCTGCCATGCCGGCAAACCCGCACTCTGGGGGGCCAGGGAGGGAGGATCGCTTGAGCCCGAGAGATTGAGACCAGCCAGATAGTATAGCAAGACCTCACCTCTATAAAAAACAATAATAATACATTATGTATTTTTTAATTGTCATAATAGCTAAGGACCGGGTGTGATGGCTCACGCCTGTAATTCCAGCACTTTGGGAGGCCGAGGTGGGCAGATCACCTGAGGTTGACAGTTCAAGACCAGCCTGACCAACACAGAGAAACCCTGTCTCTACTAAAAATACAAAAATTGGCCGGGCGTGGTGGTGCGCGCCTGTAATCCCAGCTACTCAGGAGGCTGAGGCAGGAGGATCGCTTGAACCTCGGAGGCGGAGGTTGCAGCCAGCTGAGATCGCGCCACTGCACTCCAGCGTGGGCGACAAGAGCAAAACTCCGTCTCAAAAAAAAAAACTGTCATGAATAGCTAAAAGGTGGAAGCTACCTGAGCGTCCACGGACAGATGACTGGACACACAGCGTGGTCCCTCCACGCGCCGGAACACGACTCAGCCGTGAAAAGGAACAAGGCTCTGACGCAGACCACGGCGTGGATGCACCTTGTGGACGTCACGCTCCGTGACAGACACCAGATACGAAAGGCCACACAGCGAGCGACCCCACGTCTATGAAACGTCAAGGACAGATCCATCCACAGAGACAGGAGGGGAGGTGTCAGTGCGGGGGGGCTGGGGAGGGGATGAGGAGTGACGGCTGATGGGGACAAGGCTTCCTTTTGGGCTGATGGAATGTTCTGGAATCAGACCAAGCTGATGGCTGCACGAGTCTCTGAATGCACTAAAATCCATGCAGTCGCACTTAAAATGGATGGACACTATTGTGTTTCTGTCATAGTGTCACAGTCAGCCACTGGGATGCCTCCCGTGATTCCTGATTTCATTCTGCCCCTGGTCCCCTCCGTCCCTGTGGCCACCTTGCAATGTCTGGTTGGGTGTCTCAGGGTGAGTGGGCTGGGGGGACCCTCACCCCTCTCCGAGCCTTGGGGTCCTCTGTGGAGGGGGGCATGATGGGGTCTCCTCCACAGTGCTCAGCACGGTGGCCGGCCGGCCCTCTGTGCGTCCACCCAGCGCTGGGCAGGGGCGGGCCGGGGCAGACACAGGGGTCTTTGTGCCTGGCCTGCCTCATTAGGAGGCGGCCCCTGTCACCAGGCCCAGCGCAGCTGCATTAATTAGCTGGGAGTGCTCCCGCTTGGCTAATTGTGCTGGAGACGCCATCGTCCAGACACAAAGACCTCAATCCTCCAGGCCGGGTCACCTGCCGGGTCGCCCTCAGCCTTTCTGTGCCTCAGTTTCTTCAATCGGGGCAGGCCTGGCATGACGGCCCCTGGGACCCCAGAACTTACAGATGTGCCTTTTGCAAGGTGAAGCGGTTAGAAGATGACAGAGCCCCTGCCCTGACCTGGGGCAGGTGGGGAAACTGAGTCACACGCAAAGGCAGAGCTCGCCAGTGGAGGTTTCACAAGATTCGATTGGAGGCCGGGCGCGGTGGCTCAAGCCTGTAAGCCCAGCACTTCGGGAGGCCGAGGCGGGTGGATCACGAGGTCAAGAGATCGAGACCATCCTGGTCAACATGGTGACACCCCGTCTCTACTAAAAATACAAAAAATTAGCTGGGCATGGTGGTGCGTGCCTGTAGTCCCAGCTACTCAGGAGGCTGAGGCAGGAGAATTGCCTGAACTCGGGAGGCGGAGGTTGCGGTGAGCCGAGATCGCGCCATTGCACTCCAGCCTGGGTAACATGAGTGAAACTCCGTCTCAAAAAAAAAAAAAAAAAAAAAAAAAAAAGATTCGATTGGATCCTGAGGCCCAGGAATTCCACCGTGCTCAGCCGGTGGCATCTCTGGAGCCAGCCACACACAAGCCCTGTCTCCTCCCTCCATCTTCCCAGCTGCCCCTCCTACTTCCCAGAGAGGGAAATGGAGGCCCACAGATGGCTATGAAGGATACAGGCCCCACAAAAGGCTCCTTCCAAGGCCTGACCCCAAAACGATGCATGGAACCAATGACTCAGTCAGGTTCCCCAGATCCCCAGACGTTCCTCAACACCACACCCCTCTCCCTGGTAGACCACAGACCCACGTCTAAATTATTATTATGATTACTACTAGTTGAGGAAGGGTCTTGCTTTGTTGCCCAGGCTGGAGTGATCACAGCTCCCTGCAGCCTCCACCTCCCAGGCTCCAGCGATCCCCTCACCTCTGCCTGCCAAGTAGCTGCACCCACAGTCATGCACCACCACGCCCAGCTAGTTCTTTTTCTCTTTTTCAAGAGACAAAGTCTCTTTCTGTCACCCAGACCGGAGTGCAAAGGCACAATCTCGGCTCACTGCAACCTCCACCTCCCAGGTTCAAGCGATTCTCCTGCCTCAGCATCTTGAGTCGCTGGGAAGACAGGCGTGTACCTCACCTGGCATTTTTTTTTTTTTTTTT